CCCTGAGGTGACGGGGACCCTGAGGTGATGGGGGTGAGCACCCCACAGGGCCACAGACAGCACTGACTGCAGACAGAAAAGGGCCCCCAAGCCATACTGGCCGTTGCCAGAGGTCACTCGAAGGCCCCTAGGTCACACGCTCGTCACCACAGTGCAGGAGTCATGAGGGGATGGAAACGCATTTTGTCAGAGACAAAGGGACCTCAGCACTGAGGCCCGGGGAGAAGCCTGTCCCCAGCAACGGACAGCCATGCCATTGGTACCCACTGGGACAACTCACTTTTTCTGCAGCCTGCAGGACGTACCATCGGGGACCTGCCAGGGAGCGGCGAGTCCTGCTCTCTGGGCAGCACTGGGCCGGGGCAACGCTGCAAGCAAGCAGCCGTGGACCGTGCAGCACTGATGACATGAAGCACAGGTCAGCAGCATCACAGACACAATTCCTTTGCACAGGGACAAAGCGTATTCCCCCCCCCTTCCATCTTCTCCCAGTAAGTTTTGAGACAAAGTCCTGCAATTTACTGCGACAGGTGGGAGCCTGCTTTCTTTTGCCATGCACAAAGACACTCCACAGCCTTATGGTCTCCTTGTGAGCTCCTTCACCAGCCAGCCTTCCCACAAATTCCACTTTGTTGTCCTTTCTCTACACCTTCCATTTTTGACCAGTGCCTGGTCTGTTTTGAAACCATAACACCGAAATCCACAGTCACACACCTCTCAACTCTTCAACAGCTCCCCACTGCAACGAGCCTTCAGTCTGTAATGTCTGCTAAGAATTAAAACTGAAGATTAACAAGGCCCTTACGTCCTCACTCTCTTTGTAAAGCTTAGCAGGGTGCAGCTGCTATGTAAGTACTTCCTCATAAAAAAATGCCACAGCACAAAACAGAATAAAAGCCTGCAGTATCCCCAGGGTGGCAGTGAGACTTAGACTCTCTCTGCCACTGAAGCGTTGGTGACCCTGGAAACGTCACCCAGGCTCCACTTCGAGCTAGGAGAGGGAAGCTATAACCATACAAGGGTGAGACCCACATTCCCAAGGTCCCCAGTCCCCTCCAAGTCAGGCTTCAACTCACGGAAAACAACAACACTGCCAGTGATTTTGAGAGGTGCAGAAGCAGAAAAAAGGATCCACAGTGGTACAGGACTAGAGCTTGGCCACCCTCTCCTTCTAGATCTTGCATTCTCTGAGAAAACACTGGGGAGCAACAGGAAAACAACCTTCCAGACCATGCCTTGACAGGCAAAATTAGGGTGGTTTTCAATTACACTGGCTCAATCCATTAATGTAACACAATTGAATGCCCCCTGAAGACTTGTTAAGATGCAGACTAGCATGTTCGAAGCCACGTTAACCTGCCACATTGATGCTGGGGTGGGGGGAGGGGGGCAGAATGAGAAGGATTACTGCAGCTATTAAGATTGAAAAACAGTAATTTTGTCCATCAAGAAAGTAAAAAGCCCCAGAGTAACAGCAGCCCCTCGTGTGGGGCAGCTGATCCCCTTGTTCACAGAAGGCGGTTACAGCAATAGACTTTTTTGCTAAGATGTAAAAGGGCTAAATCCTACCCATCCTTACACGCGTAGAAACCTACTGACGTCAATGGCTGTAATGGTGTAATTGAAGGCAGAATGTAGCTCAAGGGGTCCCATTTTATTACTCTAGGAACAGTACAATGTATTAATAAGAGCACAGGAGTCCCCAGAGATTCCCACACACATTTTATGTTTTTAAGACATGTGACCAGAGTTTTGACATCTCTGGTTACAGAACACATCTTTTGGGAATTAATAAAGCATTAGGAACATTCAGCATGACTAATCTGATCATTAAAAGGTTTGGGGTTTGTTTTTTGTGTTGTGTTGGTTTTTTTGGGTTTTTTTTGTTTTTTTTTTACCTTAAGATTTAAAATGGGAAACAGGACAGAAATAACTATCCCTACAAAGGCTACAGTTTGTTTTCCTAAGTTTTCCCAGCCACACTTAACTACGTGAAATGCAGGTCAGATTCTTACTGAAAATTAATAGTCCCACTGAAGTCAGTGCACATGTCATGAACTTGAGCTAAGAGTTGCAAAAATTCTGTATATTCAGCATGTTGGAATTTCTAACACACTTATGGTACATTATGCCATTTATTATGGCTCATTAACCAGATCTTTCTGGACCCAGTGCTGATTAAATTTATTAAGAGCCCACACTAAAAGCTCTAGGCGCTCTAACAGTTAATTGGGTTTACAGGTATAAACGATCATCAGAGAGAAGTCATATCTAAATAAGTAGTTTTCTACCAGTCAGGAAATCAAGTAACAAACCAGCTTCTTTCCCCCCCCGCCCACTGCTTCAGAAGGAAAAATCTATTTCTGTTTTACTTGCTCTTCAGACTCTTCAGGACCCATGTATTGGCAAGGAACCAACAATATTTTCTGCAGGCAAGATGCACACTGCTTTTTCACGAGGAACCCGCTGTCCTTCATGCAAATCTCCCCTCCTGAAACCATCCTTAGACCTTCTCTACACCTGTCCTTTACGTCCAGGACATGGGCTGCAGAGCTGGAACCCTGCTACACACAGTCTCCCGGGAACCATAAAGGAAGTTCAGCGCAAAGGTTGGTGGCTGAATGAGGGCGTTTCCGCGTTTTCTGAGACTGAGCAGGGGGTGGAGCAGGGAGGAGAAGAAAAAAATGACAGCCACAAGCCAGATAGATACCGAACAAGTAAAACCAAGGGGACAGATAGCTCAAAAGGGATCTAATGTCTCTGGTTTTCCTGCTGTAAAAATAAATCACCACTAAAAAAAAAATATATTCAAGTGATATCGTATCTTTAAGTCTTATAATAAATTTTTGGCTCCCCAAATCCTTCCTTATTCCAGTAATCTGCTGAAGTCACCAGGATTTCTCATAGGAGAAATGGTGTGCAGGGATAGGACATTTATTACCTACCTTTCAAACAATGAGATAAAGCGGTTGGGTTTCTCTTTCAATGCATGAGAGGGCTCCTGCCAGGCTTATTTATTTATTTATCACGAGGCTTCATCAGCATCATCTGAGAGGTAGAAGATTTTAATACTCCCATCAGATACAAAAGATGAAGGCAAGCTAAGAACATACCCATAATAGGAATGCAAGAATTCCTGTAGATTTTGCCACAGGGAAATTAGTTTGCTTCAGGAGTATAAAGCTCTTGAACCAAATCAGAGATAAAACTCTGCTGAAGAGTGGTCTCCATGCAACAGAAAATTTCAAAAGCTGTAAATAAACAATACAAAACAGCACAACACCGGCTGTGCAGAAAGACTCCATCTCCTCACAAAATACAGCTTTTTATTTTGATGAAAAATAACAAGACACTTTCACATGGATATCTAGAAAAATAAAAATTAAAAAAATCTCTCACGTAGCTGTCTGCAGTCAAGGAAACTCTGCCCTTGCATGCATTTGGCTGGAATTTCTCCTTTTCCCTTCTGCCAACGAACAGTAATCCCCTGCACGAAGCACTGTACAAAGAACCACCAGAACCACAGGCCTGATCCCAGACGCACTCAAAACCATGGGACAACAAGAAATACACATAGCATTCCAGACCTTTGCTTTGAAACAGAGGAAAGAGATCGAGAAGAAAAAAAAGAAAAAAACAACCTCGGGCTGCTTCCAGTGCCGCTTTTTGGAGAACTCCTGATGCACGCGGGCAGGCAGAAAAGAGGATGCAATCGCTCTAAACCGGGCTCCAGGGAGTCCTTTCATCTGATTCCCGCCACAGGCACCTGCTGCTGCTTGCGGATCTTGTTGAACAGCTCCATGTACTGAACCATCGTGTCCGCTGGGCTGTAGATGCTGTCGTGCTTGGTGCCAAACACGGACGGGATGCCGGGAGTGTGGTTCCCCATGAAGCTCTGCATGAACTCGATGAGCAGGCTCCAGCAGTCGTTGGCTATCACGCAGGGGCAGTACTCCACCTGGCAACAGAAACCACAGCCCTGAAAGCTCACGGCAGGGGCAATAACCACGCAGGAGGCAACGCGCTTTCCTCTCTCTGCCTCACTAGAGAATACTTTTCATAAAAATATCGGAGAATATTTAGCCTATAACAAGGATGGACAAATATAAATGAACAGGACATGCTGGGAACATGCAAGCAATCCCTTCAAAAGGGAAGGGAAGGTAAAACATACCCCGTAAGGGCGTTGCTTTTATTAAATCCCCAATAGTGGAGGTCTTGGGACATTGGTTCAAATGCCTCATTAACTTTACCCCATCCAAAACCAAACTTCATTCCCATGTGCTGGTAGGTCAATGACTCGTGTGGCTGTGACATCTTTCAGGAGCATACTGGAAAAAGCCTTGGGACTTAAGGACTTGAAACGTTTTACTAAATGTGAGTCTGGTCCCAAATCAGGAGTAGGTCCTAACCCTGAAAAAACTACTAAACTAAAACAGAAGTAGCCAGACCGCCTGGCAAATCTGGTCCTGAATTCAAGTTTAGGGTAAAACAAGCTTCTGTTTAACCCCAGGTCAATAGCAATGCTGACACTACAACATCTGCATTTACTGCAGTGAAGAAATAAGCCATTTCTCAATCCTCATCCTGCTGGCTAAGAACACCTGCCTGAGTAGACGCAGCGTGATTATCAATTGTAGATCAGATAATAGGATTTGCCTGTTCAGAAAAGCTTAAGCTCTGATTTTGAAGGATTTTTAAGCATCTAATTCTCAGCTATCTTGAAGACTGTTAGGCACCAATATACCTAGATGTCTGGGGTCTGACCTATTCTGCTTTGCCCTTCCCATAGCAGCACAGCCCAGCTCCTTGTCTTTTTCCGAGGTGATTTTTAGCCCAGCTGAGGCTCGTCCATGGCTGATGAGCCTTCGACTCACGCTTGCGCTCAGCCAAGCACCTCCCCGAACGCCTTCCTAATCCTCCCATGCCCCTTCGCGTACGCTGAAGGATCTCCCTTTGAAGTTTGCTTCAGCCCAACCTCCATTCTGGCCAAGCTGGCAACAGATGCTCTCGAGCCTAATGATCAGCAGTCACGGCACTGAGTGGAGAGCATGGAAATGGTTTGATGGCAAGCTTCAAGCCCGCGGTGCGGCAATCCCAGTCAGCACACTGCGGGGGAGCGCTGACGCCTGCCAGAAGTTCTCTGGTGAGGAGACGACCATCTCTACACCACGTGAGCAGGAGGGCCCTGCCTCAGCCCTGCCATCGTCCGCTCGAGAGATGCGGAAAGAAAGCAAAACCCAAATCAGCATGGAATTAGCAGCTGAAGAGGTTGTTCTATCCCCCTCGGTATGCTTATTAATCTGAAGTGCTGCTACTAGTGCTGTGCATCAGGACTTTGAGCAGCTTTTTAGTTTGATGGCATCCGTTCAGGGTTTTGTTTATTGACACTTCGATGACAGGCTTTTCCGAGGCTGCGGCTGAGCCCCAAAGTACCTGCCTGAATTAAACCTTCTTGTGAAAGGGAGATAAATACCCTGCCTGCCGCATACCTGAAGCCATCTAGTCCAAACTACCAGCAACGAGCTATACAATCGAGACGCAGGAGGGACGGGGGATTTCTCTCGCCTCCAACATGGGATCTCCCTGTCCGTAGTTTCATTTCATACCCTTCCAAGGCGATTCTTACCTCCACAGATATCCCGCGGGCACTGGGCCCCATTGTAACCGTGCCCACCTTCACCAAGAAGTCACAGTACTGGTAGCGGGTGCCCCGGCTCTCTATCTTGTTCGCCTTGGCATTTTGGAAGAAGCCTTTCAACTTCACCATAAGGATATCAAAGTTGGCATCTGCTATGAGGCAGGGACCATTTTCAAAGAGAGCAAAGCAGCTGAGGGGATATTCCGAGTTGTGCATCACATACATCAGCTTGCCTGTCTGCCCTGAAATAAGAGCAATAGTATTTGGGCCGTAAAACCAACAGTCCTGCGCTTGTACGTGCTTTGAAGAAGCATCTGTTTTTTCCCTTTGTTGCTTCAATTCCAGAATCCTTATACTGCTCACACATGCTTTATGTTATCTAGCCGTTCACTGATTAGATTGTTAAAAGGGAAAGTTAAAGTTAAAAAGGAAAAAAGAAAAAAATCTTCTGCAGCCCAAGAGGCTCAGAGACCAGAGGGTGAGCTGGACGCGAGATCCCCAGCAGACTGGTGGGGGGGGTCAGCGAAGAGCAGCCACCTCCCACCCCGAATACAAGGCTGGCCATCCGCCGACTGTCCTCCTGCCCACGGTCACGGGGGAAGGCTGGGCTTTGCCTCTCCTCCCGCTCACCCACCAGTCCTGCCGGGGGGGATGTGCTGGGACGCGCTCTGGAAAACAGGGTGTTCAGACAGGACGCGCCTGGCTTGTACCACGCTTTAAAAGCTGGAGACAATTCTCATTTATCCACATAGGTTAAAAAAAAGCCTTTCCACGCGCGTGGCCTTACAAGTTCTGGCTGCAGAAGTGGCAAAAAGCTGAAAACGGATCCGTCCGGGGAAGGCGGCTGAGCAGCCCCGGGGCTGCAGGGGCTCAGTGCTGACCTCTG